ACCTTAGCATACGTTGGGCATACTTGCTTTGACAACAAACCCTAGTTTTAAGGGTTTGGCCCCTATTTAAGAAATATTATGGACCTTGAGGTTGCCCCCTCATCAACCTCCTTGCCCTTAAAAATATCCCCAGGAAACCGTAGCATCCATTTGAGTGTTCTTGAGCCTGTGTTGTGATCTTGTGGTGTTTTGGGTGCCTTGAAGAAGAAGAAGATTGGTGGTGAAGCATTAGTTGAGTTGGATATTAAAGATACAGAATCTTCAACATCTTTGTAAGCCTCAGAAGGTATAAATCTCTGAACTCTATGAATCTTTAGTATAGATCTTGTATGTAGGTAAAATCTTATGCTCTTTGGTCCTATAAGATTATTCTTGTGAGTAAATGCTACTCCAGAGGTCTTGTGTTGCTCTTTTGATATTTATGAGGTTCCATGATGACAAAGTTTTCATATTGATTGTTAATGACCAACCATGCAAAAGTTTACGGTTTTTTAAGAAGAAAGAATGCTAGATCTAGGATTTGGACGTCTTGGCGCCATGCAAAGTCTTAAAGCTTCGAACTTTTATGGATTAAGACTTTATTTAGAAGTAGATCCAAGGTTTGGATGGTAAGGTATTAAGGTATTAGGTCAAGAGAATGAGAAAGAGCTAATGACAAGTACATTGGGCGTACTTCTGAGTACGTTGCACGTATTGGGTTTGAGTCCCATTTTTTCCTCGTTGTTTGGACTTATACATTAGGCGTAATCTAATGGTACACACGACATACTCACCAGCTAGGCTTTTAGGCCTTGAAATAGTTTGGGCCATTGTTAGGCCAAAATTCTTTTTGGGTTTAGAACAATGTTAGGACTTATATCTATAAGGATTTGGGTCATATCTAGGCCTTGGGCTACTTTGTGTCTTGGGCCATGATTAGATAGGCCCAGTAAGGTAAAGGTAAAATGGTCTTTTACCCTAGGATTCCGGTTTAAGGATTTAGAATCTCGGTTATGGTTTATAGCCTAATTGGTAATTAGGATTTTATTATTTGTGATTTAGTGCGAAGGTTTTCTGGTTCAGCAACTCGAGTGTTATTTGTTTATCAGCGGATCGATGTGAGTTCCTTTATTGTAGTCGTGGGTTGAAGGCACCAATGTCGGCCTACTAGATTATATGTGTAGGATGATAGTTGTCTTTATGACACTTACTGTTATGCATGTATGTGCTTGTTGTCTTTGTGACTCTTGTTTATATGATTTTATACTTAGCTAGTTGTAAGGGTGAAATAGACCCGATACCAGTTGAAAGAACCTGAAAGGGATGAAATAGACCTAGTACCGGTTCAAAGAGACTTACGGGGGTGAAATAGACCCAGTACTGGTTGAAAGAGACCAATGGGGGGGGGGGGGGAATAGACCCATATATATTTTGACTGTTATATATGTATGGTATAGGGTATTTTGGGGAAGCTCACTAAGTTTTGTGCTTACAGTTCTATGTTTGTGGTTTAGGTACTTCAGTTCGAAAAGGAAGGGTTCGGGATGACCGTACCGCATCCACCCATGTTTTCTACACTTTTATGATTTTGGGAATTGTACTCAGATGATTATTTTACTATGACGTACATTTGGATGTTTTTACTAGAATATTTTGTAGTTTGGGTTGAATTAAAAATGAAATTTTTACCTATGATTTTTGGGATGTTACAAGTTAGTATAAGAGCCTTGGTTTGAGGGATTCAGGTACACTTCCAGGTGAGTCTGAACTAAAACTGAGGAACTGATAATCTGAAAGAAAAGAGTTTTATAAGTAAACGTTTATAAAGAAAAAGGGTTCGATGTGTGAAGTATTCCCAAAATACTCATACATGTTATTCTGTGAGTATATGTATATGTATATAGCATGCTAGATTAGGGCTAAGGATCTACTCAAAATTGCACAGTAGGATGCTAGGAGATATGCCTTTCTATGCCAGTTTTATGAATCCATAGAATTTCATGATAGTATAGATTTTAGATGATTAGATAGAGTGACCTAGTTAGGAAGTGATCTGGGTTAGAACTCAAAGCTAGAATAATGCTTACTTTGTGCTTTTAGGGACTCCATTAGTTTTTTTAATCATTATGAGAATATTTCAAATTACACATTGTGGGGATTAAATAATTCTTTAAGTTTAGATTAAACTCTATTGCGCAACACTTTTTGAAGTCTAACTGTTGTAGAGTGGGACCTAGCAATCGAAAAATATCTGGTGTTGGTAACATGTTATTGTATTTGTGAGGTAGTTAGAAGACATTGGAGGGGAGTCTCTTCTGCAGCTATAGCAGAGAGTGATGTGGAAAGGAACCCTAGGAAACGTCTTAGTGCGTAAGCTACCCTATAATGTAAGTAAAGTATCTAATAATAAGGAAATGGCTTGGAGGATTTGAGTCAGTACTTGAGGAAGACCTTGATGAGTTCGAGAAAATTCATAAGTGTGAACCTCTTCACATGTATACTAATTGTCTATGTATTATGTTTTAGCATGGAGGTGACAAATGGCGGAGCAGGAGGTTCAGGATATGCATCTGGTTCGGGCTTGAGCACCGAACCAATTGATGAGGGTTTATGCAAGTTCATTATATCTGAGATTATGAGAGGCATCCTTTATGCGACCCCGGTGATATTCAAGTCGATGAAGGAGGGTATCATCGAGTAATGGAGGATCATCTCTAGATCTTTAGAGCCTATCTAGTTGTTGGTCAGTACAGAGCCGACACTCTCCCCTTTATGGATTTGAAGGGATGTGGGATGCCAGAATTCTTTAGGGTGAAGGATCCTACTTCGCCAGATGATGGATAGCAGATATGGAGTGTGTTCAGAAGACTACCTTCTGCCCGAGGGGTCTAATGTGATGTTCGCTGCAAGCGGTCTTAGGGAGCGAGCCCGGGATTTATGGGAGGAGGTTGGTTATGCTCTGGGAGCCCCAACCATTAAGGCCATGACCTGGTCGGATTTTGTGAGCCAGTTCTGAGCGGAGTTTACACCGGCTGTTGAGGTGCTACAGTTGGCGAGGGAGTTCCTGGATATGCGATAGGCGAGTGAGGTTGTGTCGGAGATCACTACCAAGTTCCGAGAGAGAGCTCCACTACTAGAAAAACATCCTTTTACGACGCTCATTGCGCGTCGTAAAAGGCTCAGACAACGCGCAAATGCGCGTCAAGGAAGGCCATGTCATAAAGAGAGACGACGCGCTTTTAAGCGTTGTCTATAGACAACGCGCATTTACAACGCTCATTTACGGCATGCAATTACGACGTGCGTTTACGACATGCAATGCGTATCAAGGAAAGCCCTGTCATAAAGGAAGACGAACACATTCGCGTGTCGTAACCTTACGACGCGCGTGTTAATGACACGCAGTGCGTATCAAGAAAGGTCATGTCATAAATGAAGATGACACACATTTTTGCGTATCATAATTTTAAATATTTAAAAAAAAATATTCTTTATAGATTTACTTATTTTCAAATTAAATTTGTATTTAATGTTTCATAATAGAAAATAAAATATCATATACAAAAAATAGAATCCATTGCATAAATTTAATGTCATACAATTCTATTTTTTTACAATATATAAATTTGCATCTAATCTACTATGTACATCAAATTCCAACTAAGTAAAGTTGCATCTTGCCTTTCATAATTCTTTAAGACTAATGCTCCAAACAACTCATTATATGGATAAGCAGTTGTACATTGGCCCATCTCACTCAATAATGACTTAGCCAAATTCAACTCCAAGTCTTTACTGCATCTTGCTGATAATGCCGCAAGATTTAAATCAAGTGGCTTCATATTCCTTTCTTCCATCAACTTTACCTGATGCACAAAATACACAGAAACAAAAAAAAACATTGTAGAGGAAGGGGTAATTTGGGAAAATGTGAGGGGTATAATATAATAAGAATGCAAATACTTAATACCAATTTCATGCCATCATGGAAACCTATTGTCACTACTAGAAAGTAGAAATGTTTCATGTAGAGTTAGCTGTACAGCTAATTACATCAACAGCTTAACCTTAATTACTAAAGAGCATATGGAGACTGATATTCTCTGAATCACATCAACAGCTGCTCCAGACCTGATATTCTCTGCATCACATCAACATCTGGCTGTAAAATCAATGAGCGTAACAAATAACTTTTCACAGTTTTACTTTTGAAGATCATTAAGATTTGAAGATCATACCTTTGCACCACATAAAACTAGAAGATGGAGAGAGCTAGACTCCATATCCTTAACAGCCCCACCTAAGGAGATGGAGTGATCCTTTTCATTTTAATCCCATTCATCCAAATATGGAATCTCCATTTGTCAAAAACATACAATCAGAATTAAGAACAATATTTTATATTAAAAATAAGGGAAAATCAATAGCAAAATGAAAGTGAAAATGAAGTGAATTGACATTCTAACTTGTTTCTTGAGGATAGAGTGCAACTTCAAGTCCTGATTCAACTATTGTATCTGTAATCTTTTGGATATGACTGAATGCCACATCTTTGAGATAGTCACCCATGCGTGTCTGAAAGAAATTCTAATTATTATAAAAAAAACAAGCTTTCTTATATAAAAAAATACGGGTATGGAAAGGTCAAAGGTCTGAAGTCTGAATTAAAGAATTTATAAAGAAAGAAAGGGAGGGAACCTTGAATCCTGTGAGAAGGCTAGAGCTGTAACAAGGCCAAAATATGGTTTCTTCACTACACTATGCATCCTCATATTACTAGAATTCAATATAAATATGTCCCCTTGGATCGTACCTTTGCAATTAATGCATCAACGTTTATCATTCATATAACATACTACTATAGATTCTTCATCTGAGAATTGAGATGTTTAATTTTGAAACAGATCCATTTGACCAGAAGCAGATTTATACACATGCTAAGTGATAACATGAAGTTTAAGAAAAGCAAATGGAGTCTTACATTGCAAGAAACCTCCCATCATCTTATACGCTTCCATGTACTAGTGTTCCACTTGACAATACTTCATCCCCGATCTACCCATGATGAAAAATGTTCAAACAAATTAGTTCACTATTCCAAACAATATTGCATTAAAAACATCAGCCAATATTTACATAATCAAACAAAAAAGAACAGAAAATGAAAAATAGCAATTCCATTGATTCCCAAGAAACTCGTTCATAACAATTCCATTCATGGTGTATATCCTAGGAGATGACCAGTATCCCCACAACCACCATTTCTTTACGTCCTCTTTGAAAACAAAAAAAAAAAAAAAAAAAAAAAAAAAAAAAAAAAAAAAAAGTGTTAGTTGACAGTAAAAATGGATCAATAGTCATGTTTCAGTATGCTTCTAAGCAATTAGTACCTCGAACAAGAACAAAGCCACCCAAAGCAAAGACTAAAAGAAGTGTAAATGAACCAAACGTTGTTTGCAACAATCATATTTCAACCCAATGAACCGAAACAATTCTGAAGACATTTGGTTAACAAGCAAAAGCAGAAGATATTGCTTGAAGAATCTGTAAAACAAGAAATATTCGTTAAATAAACATATGCAAAACAAAAAACATATTTTTGAGACTTTCAATCTGTGATTTTGTAATGTAATATAATTAATTACCTTGCAATACTAGAATCGAAACCAACTACGTAATACGTGAGAATCACCCAAACAACAGATTCAAGAAACGAAACCGGAATCTTGAGAATCACCCAAACAGCGGCTTCAAGAAACGAAACTAAACAGGTGAAGACAGACTCGTATATTCATATGATCTTCCACCTCCAGTGGCTCCAGTGCTCCACTCACCGGTTGTACCACAAATCCAAGAAAGGCTCTCCCAAGTCCATGAGCAAGTCCAAGAATACCATTCTGTCTGGCACTTTCAACAGGTTTCCTCACTACACCAGACACCCCAAAAGCAAAACCTTGTGCATGAGCTTCTATCCCTTGTAAGAATCCGTCCCTACCCCTGTTATTCTTCTTGACCATACCTGGGAACATAATTTATTACTTAGGTATGGTGTAGTGTGGTTTGACTTCTACTGTAATGTGCTTGACTAGGGAAAAAAAAGTTAAACCTGTTTTGAGCGCAGTTGTAGAAACTGTCCATCTCTGGAGAGCTCAGCAAATCCTTTACTTAGAGATGCCAAAGTGGAGCTTGCCATACCCAACACATCCACAGAGAAAATTAAATGTAGAGGATTAAGTATTGGAACTAGCTTCCATATATATAAATATAATATAATATATATTACAACAAGGGACTCACTGATTAGGTTTGGTGTCAAAACCTTTAGGTGCATCAGATAAGGAGCACCATTTCCATTTCCATCTCTGATTCCAATGACTTCTACACATAGTGATGCCAATTTTCATCGTCCATGAAAAAACAATAAATTCAATATACTTTTTTTAATTAAAAAAAATTAATATTAAGTTAATACCTTGTAGAGACTTAAAACATCTGTTGTTAGCTTTGTAGCAGCATACCATGCTCTTCTGTTAACAACTTGACAAATTTCTGTTCTAAGTAAAGGCCGAACCAAATGTTTTTTCACTAAAGATGTTCACATCAAGATTCTAGCAAACCCTGGAACAACTTATCTTGATAAGCTTGTTGTTAGTAACACCACACCCTTTATCTCCACCTGAAAATAAATAAAATATTAATTGAGAATATTAAAAAAAATAAAAATTGGTTATAACTTATTACTTATATCAATAAGGCTCCCGGATGCCTTCACTCTTTGTGCAGCCTTTTAAGCAAGAAGACCTCCATCATCATGACCAACAAGAACAACAGAAGAAAGCCCCATTTCTTTACAGAATGTTAGAAGCATATCAACCTAAAATAATATTAAACTGATCAATAAAGAATAAAATGGTATTTTACTACTTTACTATTTTATAATTTAAACAAACTAACATGTAGAAAAAATACCCTCAGAATCTCCATCTACAATTCCATGGCAGAGAGAAGCACTCACTATATTTCATTGTCGATGATCATACACAGTTGAGTTCAGATGAAAAGCAGGCTCACCTATAGTTTGCCCATCCATCCAGAACGACTACACAAAACAATACACATGTTTCAGAAGGCAACATAGGGGTATTTTGGTCTTTTTAACAAAGTGATGATATTGAATTTATACCAGTGTAGAAGGTTTATCTAGACCAACACATTAATTAATCATTGGAATACAATTAATTTTTTATAATTAAGAGCATTATTATTATTATTATTATTATTATTATTATTATTATTATTATACAATATAAGACAATACCTGTACGACTGAAGAAAAATCATCATCCAAGATAATGATGTCACTGCTTTCTTTTGCAACTTCAGTTCCTTGGATGCCCATAACAACACCAACATCATCCTACAGTTTCAATTTCAAAATAACAAACATATAAATAAAATACAGTAAAAATAATTATATTGATCATAAAAAAATCTTTAATTATTACCTCATCCAAGATAATGAAGACAACTCCCTTATGCTTAAGGTCAAAAAGACTAAAAACCTACACACATATACATATATGAAACTTTTTAAACCTTAATGCCATATGCAAATTAATTTCACTTATATTTGGTTCATCTGTTTAGTGAAATTATTTTCATAAATCACTCAATTTTGTAAATTGGCCCATGGAACTGAAAATAAATTGGAGGAACAACAACAACATACATACCCTATTTGCAAACAGATTCTTTAATTTTCCTTTTGTTCTTGAACAAAGCTTGTAGAAATTCTACCTGCAAATCTAATAGTTAGAGAACATATATAAACATGTGATATTGAGATACATATTTAATTATTTATCTACATAATTACGATTCTTAAATAGAAATTCTGACATAAACTACCTTGCTAAAGAATAGAAAAAGCAAGAGTCCACCGTGGAATAACAACAGCCCATTCAACAACAAGGATGATGCAGGATTACAAGCATCGCAAGGATTTACTGCTGTATCAAAAAATGGAATTAAATTTTTATTTTTATTTATTTCAATGTTCATATAATGAGGAATTAAAAAATGTTATTTATACAAACAAATTTATTGTTTATTGTGAATATATATATATATATATATATATATATATATATATATATATAGGGATAATGTCATAAAAAACCTTAAGTTTGGCAGAAAATATCGGTTTTACCCTTCGGCAGATTTTTGGTTCGTTTATACCGCAAATTTGTCATTTTTTTGTTGGTTTTGCCCTTGTTACCTGGAATAGCAAAAAAATGACAAGTTTGCGGTATAAATGAACCAAAAATCTGTCGAAGGGTAAAACCAATATTTTTTGCCAAACTTAAGGTTTTTTATGACATTATCCCATATATATATATATATATATATATATATATATATATATATATATATATATATATATATATATATATATGAATTTTTGTTTTTATTTATTTTAATATTATATAACAAGGGTATTTTACTCTTTTTAACGAAAAATAAATAAAATTGAATTCCTTCCACCCTCCTAATGAAATCCAGCAAACATAGTAATTGTAGGATTCCAGCGGAATTGAATTGCCTCTATTTAGCAACCAAACATGCCATGGAATGGAATCTCATATGCCAATTCCATCAATGTCCTTGGTTTTTAATTAAAGAGCAATCTATTACCTTGGCAATGTCAAGTTTACCAAGCTGAATAACCAACTCAAATCTATAATCAGGGTCTGTAGCAACTTCCAAGGCCTCTTCAACCTTGCCCCATGACTCCAGAAAATGAGCAACACTATTGAAGAAAACAACTAGAATTCGTTTATAAAAAAAAATATAATATATATTTAAGATACAAATTTTGGTAATAACAATATAATATTTGAAACTCTACCTATTATACTGCTCCTTTGGGATTGAGGGTAAAACTCCATTAGCTCATTCTATGTCTCCACGCATCACAAGTGTCTTGTACTCGATTAACGTCAGGAGCAAAGTGTAACCAATGACACTAAAACATAAAAATTAAAGAAAAAAATTAGCATAAATGTTGATGATAATTGTTTATTTAAAGATTATTATACCCACTCACTTGAATTCTTTGTTAATGAGATAAACCCTGCTCTGGTTAGCAAGAAACCCAAGAAGATACATAGGTTGATCCAAATGGAACATTGTGTTAAGCTGAAACAAATGTCACAGTAAATATTATCAAAAATCATTTCACCCTTCACACCAATCAAAATATCAAACCCAAACAAAAAAGAAAACCAATTAGTCATCCAGATCAGGATAATTAATATTTATATTTATATAGTTTGATATAATGGCATCAAAAAGTTACAGGGGTGGAATACTATTAAAACCAGAAGACATACCAGTAGAATTAATGTATCCTGAAGTGGACATACGTGGTGATCACTAACTATTTTCATACCATGAAACAAAGCCTTCATCAACGACTCCAAAAACAGGGTCGCTCATAGAACCCAGATGCTGACAAACGGATGAGTGATAGACATCATCCTCATACGCTGAACTTTCAACACACTTGTATAAAATTGATTTCTTTCACAGATAAGGTCATTCATTTTCAAAGGACCTTCTCTCTATATTCAAGACCTTATTAAAAAATCAAGGTTTTAACCAATGCTGGATTATATAGCTCTACTTGGGTGACCTATGTTGGAATAATCCAGAAGTGTAGAAGAATTTATCTAGTTTATTTTTTGAACTTTTAGTCATTATCCTTTCTTCCTGCATTTTAGAGATAAACCCATCTAGTTAGTTTGTTTTGTTTCTTTCAAGTATAAGTAGGAACGTTATTTATGATGTTACAGTGAGTTTTTTCAGTTCAATAAAAATCCCAGCAGAAAGTTGGACAAAAATACCCCTCAATTGCTTCTTCTTGTTCTCTGTTCCCCTGTTCTTACTTCTTGCTGTTAGATTTAAGCAGCCACCTTCCCTTTACCATCTTCAGATGCAACCACATCACTCAGTGGAGGCCATGAATCAAACTTTGATCTGAAAGAAACTGTCTCCAAATTCTCAATCATTCGAATGATATTGGATTTTGGTCTTTCATGAACACGTAAATGTTCCTGTAAATCAATACGTTATTTATTATAATAAGAACCTTGGAAATTTATATTTATATTTATATAGTTTGATATAATGTTTAGTTCTGCAGCTCCATTTGCAGCTTTTCTTTCTTCAAGATTAGTACTTCTTCCAACCCACACATAAATTTCTGTTCCACAATCTAGAAGATAACAATGGTGCGTGTCTAGTAACTTCTTTGTCAATGAATCAGCAGCTACATGTATTGCTTTCCCTTTATGATACTTAAAACAAGAAAAAGAAATTAGAATTTTGTTAATTGTTGAGTCAAGAGATAGAATAGTAATAGAATAATATAAGAAAATATTACCAAAGTAGCTGAGTAGGATAAGCATGAGTACTTTGAGCATCATTTGTAGCTGTTTTCTTTGGAAGTGGAGCAAATCCACCAAAGAAACACCAGAATTCTCCAGCTTCAACATCATCCATTAATCTCCCATCATCTATTCAAATCAAACATATACAAGTAGAAATGAGATTGCAAGGGCTTTTCTGTAATCTTCCATTTTTATAACATAATGCGCACAAAATCACATACCAATGGTAGCTATGTCACACTTGTTACTATGGTAGGTGGTTTTGATATAAGTAGCGTTTTTTTATGAACGCATCTGGTGGAGCAATCTCCAATTGCAAAATTGTTTCAATCGCTAGCGATCTTGAATTGCGTTTTTGGGAACTAATCTGGAAATAATGTTTCAAGTGATGCACCCTGCAACTAGTGAGTAGCGTTTCATCTTCCTCGGCAAGCCATGGTGGCTTGTAGAATTGACAAACTACAAAACCAGTAATTAGGAAACACAAAAAATTACTGAACGAGAAAATTACAGAACCAGAAATTGACAAAACCCTAACCCTTTGATTTCAATTTCTTGGCCCTATGAGCGGATGACAATCATCGATTGACTAGCAAGCGATCCTCGTAGGCGCCATGGAGCTCTCGACAGACAACGTCGATGTCATCCTGGTTAATCAGCTTCTGCATCGCGATTGACTTGCAAGCGAACTGTTGGTGCATGGTTTTATGAGTGACAAGATGTGTCACACCAAATTGACTTGTGGGAACATCATCCATTGGTCGCCCAAGGATGGGGTTGGAGAGCTGCAAACGGTGATGGTGGATGAAGTGTTGGTCGATAAGGCCCGCACATCGTCGCCGTGCGAGGCCTGACGATTCGGTGTTGATTGGAGGTAGTGTTGGTCGAAGAGGATTTTAAGAACTTCAAAAATATGAAATTATCGATCTTCAACACACCAAGTAGCAATTCAGAAAAATCACATATTGAAGTCAAAAATATGATTTTAGGAACTTCACAACTAAAAATCGTATATCAGGAACCCACAAAATGATTTTAGGGTTTCTTTTAATCGAAGAGGATTTCACAACATACGAAGAAGAAGGAGGAGAGTATCAGGCGGGGTTTTCAATTTTTTGGTATTTGATTCCCCCATTGGCAATTACAAAATTGAAGAACGCGCGTTGATGAAAAAATTACAAAACGACAGTTCTACACGACAAACTTTTTTATGGTAGGTGCCCTCCGTGTTTTTAATTTTTTTTGTTGGACACTAATTTTAGGGCACAAATAAATGCGTGTCCTCTATGATTCATATTTTGGAAAATTGACATCAATTTTTAGGGCACGGATAGATGTGTGTCCTCTATCAACGTGTGTCATTGATTGTGAGTCGTAAAAGGTTGTTTTTCTAGTAGTGCTCTATAGATACCCCAATATATTACAGACGAGGAGATGAGGAAGACTTGGTACCATGACATGTTGATATCATATATCACGGAGTTTCTTAGCTTTTCAGTCTGTTTGACGTAGGATGACATGATATCTACAGCCTAGGAACGGGAAATTGATTTGGAGCACATCAGGAAGAGGAAGGCAGAGCAGATACAGATGATTGGGAACTTAGCGAAGAAACCTAAGGGTTTTGATTCTAGATCAAGGGGCTAGCAGGGTCGGGGCCTCTGTGGCAAGTGTGGTAAGAAGCATGACGGAGTTTGCAGGACGGGTGGTTCGGGCTGTTATAAGTGTGGAAAGATGGGGCACTTCGGTAGGGATTACACTGCTACCACCACCACCAATGTTTCAGGTATGGTCAACTTTCATTGCAATCAGATGAGCCACAATAAGGCTGATTGCCCGAGTTTAGCTGGAGGAGTGGTTTCAACACCTGCTCCGGTGACATTGAGGATCAGTAATAACCGGGAGGGAAAGGAGGTGGCCCTTGTAGTGAAGAGTAGGGCTTTTCAGCTGACATCCGAGGAGGCGCGTGTGGCACCTAATGTGGTTATGTGTATGTATCTTCTTCTTATCTCGTTATCTATGTTTCTTATCATGCTTATATGTTTGTTCTTTTATTTTGGGTCGTTCCTTGTGAACGGTTTTCCTACGTTGGTATTAGCTGACATCCGAGGAGGCGTGTGTGGCACCTGATGAGGTTATGTGTATGTATCTTCTACTTATCTCTTTATCTATGTTGCTTATCATGCTTATATGTCTGTTCTTTTGTTTTGGATCGTTCCTTGTGAACAGTTTTCCTACGTTGGTATGTTTGATTCGAGGGATACCCGATCCTTTGTATCTCTTGCGCTTTGCTTCAGTTTTAACTGTGTTCCATAGGAGATATATTATCTGTTAGAGGTGGATATTGCCAAAGACCGTCTTGTGCGAGTGTTGAGGGTTCACCATGTAACACCCATAATCAGAAAGACCAAGAAATGAAAGGAAAACCTTAGTCAAAGGGTCAACTCGTTGAGTCCAGGGAGGAACTCGACGAGTCGGAGCGGGATCCGGGGGATTGATTAAGTAGCCGACTCGGCGAGTCGCCAATGAGGACTCGGCGAGTCCGGTCTCAAGAGGGAAACCCTAAATCCGGGACTTTGTGCACTATTAAAGCATCTCATTCTCTTCCTTAGGGTTTCTTACAGCTTCTCTCATCTAGAATACTGAAACCTAGCCACCATATCTATTTTTGAGCAAAGATCTTGCCTTGGTGTGTGATTTGGAGCTTAGAAGAGAAGGAAGTTCATAGTGGTGCAAGAGGAAGCCTTGGATCTAGAGTTGGTGTGACTTTTTAGAGCATTTGGAGGTAAGAAGTCGCTACCTTCACTGTTTTGCATATAGTTTTCCCTTTGTTATGAGATTTGGGGCTTTTATGCCATGTTCTTGAACCATTTCGAGTTAGAGCCCAAATCTGAAGTTGCTACTTTAGATCTAAGTGTATTCTAGCCTAAAGATTCATAAAGTATCAATCTTGGGGGTGTAGGTGAAGCATGGTTGTCTTAAACCCAAGTTTGGAGTGTTTTGGGCCTAGATCTCCTTAGCTACACGTAAAGTTTGCACCTTTACGTGAGGGATAGGCTTTGGAGGAATGGATCTACAGTTTGGAGTCCCTGCATGACTCAAAAAGCCTCTGAATGTTCGAAGGACTGAATAGACTTGGCGAGTCCTTCGAGTGGACTCGGCGAGTACTGTGAAGATTAGGAGGAACTCGACGAGTTGGATGAACAACTCGGCGAGTCTGTTGAAGATTGCCTTGGACTCGGCGAGTCAAGTTGCGAAACCCCAAACCCTTCGAGTTAAGACTCGAATCAGTAAGTTGAGTGGAGACTCAGTGAGTTGGTCAGGATGGGACTCAGAAATCGATAGACTTGGCGAGTCTGGGGCTGACTCAGCGAGTCGAGTCACGAATGAAAGGATTTTGAGTGTATAAACTCGGCGAGTCAGTAGGCAGACTCGACGAGTAGGGTTGACCTGGAAGGTTGACTTTAACCAGGACTTTGACTTTGACTAGAATGGACTTAGTTGACTTTCGGAAGACAGTTAGATTAAGTGTTATATTGATATTGGTAGCTCGAGGAGCTAGTGGAGCAGCAGTTCAGAGAAAGTTATCAGACAGCAGCCAGAGGGATTACTAGCAAGTTCAGCCGTACCAGGTGAGTTTCCCTTTGTGTGAATGGGTCTAAGGCCACAATGCCGGTCCATTTAGATATGAGTAGGAAGATCCAGGGGTTAGCCCTAGGCACGGTTTGCCAGTATGATAATTAGGACCAAGGTCCATCCATAGCGGGCGGGTGCCCAAGGAATGGTTTGCATGACAGAGTATACTTGTTGTCTGTGAGATACTTGTATGTGCCTAGTAGGGAGGTGAGTGTGGGCGAGGTCTCGTATCTCACCAATAGCAGATTGTGGATGGTGTTCCACATCTCATTAGCAGGAGAACAGGGGCGAGGCCCAAGTTAGGGAAAGAGTGAGTGTGGGTCGGGCCCGTATCTCACTATCAATAGGAGCGTGGACGGGGTTCCATGACTCATCAGTAGCTAACAAAGGGCAAGGCCCAAGATAGGTGAGGCCTTAGGTTAGGATCCATTAGTATATGTTAAGCTTATGTATTGTGGTATGCTTATGTGTTAGTATATGTTAATGGGTGAGGCCCAGTGATAGGCGAGGCCTAAGTGAAACATATATGTATCCGAGCGGGGCTCGAAGCCAGGCGGGGCCTGGAGCGGTGATGCCGTTGTAGCGGGCGAGGCCCGAGGTAGTGGGCGAGGCCCATAGTAGTGGGCATGGCCCAATATATGTTGTATATGTTTGTGTAGGGTATGTGGTAGGTTGGGGAACTCACTAAGCTTCGTGCTTACAGTTTTCAGTTTTGGTTTCAGGTACTTCTGGTAGCGGAGGGAAGAGCTCGGGGTGATCGCATGGCACACACCAGTTTATTGTTATTGTATACTTGTTTCGGAATTTTTTGTGTCCGCCCCCAATCATCATAGTAACGATCAATCAATATACACATCAACATCTTTGAATCAAATTGGTTTCTTCTTCACAAACAAGTATTACCAAAGGGCTTTTAGCCTAGTGGTATTAGGTGGTGCCCTCTCTCTTTGAGGTCGAGGGTTCAAGTCCCGTCGTGGACATAGGTGTAATAGGTTTTGTTAACTTAGGAGTAAATTAGATTTGCGGGTTCAAAAAACAAACAAGTATTTCGTCCAAAAAATACAGCCTAACAGCGAGATAGTATTTCATCCAAAAAATACAAATTAATAGTAAGGTAGTTGGAACGGTGACAAAACCTTATATCTTTCATTACAATAACAATAAACTGGAAAAGGTAAAAAAAAAATAAAGAAAAGAAAAGAAACAATTCAATATATCTTGTATCTATGGATGTTACGATTGGATTTTATTGTGGACAAATCTATATTGATTTACTATGTTCTTTATGTTTTTGGTAAGAAATACCATTATTTTTGGTTTTCTCTTCCAAATAATTCTACAGGAGCCCATACATTTTTTAATAAATCATTGGACAAAAATATACGTACAAACAAAAATGTACGTTTATTTTTCCCTCTCTGTTCACAAAAAAGAAAGCAAGTTTTCTTAATAAGAAAGTACCATTATTTTTTATGCTCTTTCATTATTTTGTTGTAGGAAAAACCAATAACCATATTATTTTTCTATGTCAATTCACACCAAAAAAAGTATTTGGTTAATGTTATAAATGAGTATACAAATATTTGTTTCTTCACACATCCTTGTTTATAAGGCTAGAGGGAATGATGCATAACATGTCATGCTTCCACGTCAGCTTTTTATTAGCCACCTCACCGCCACGTCACTTTTACCATAAAAGATGCATGACATGCCATTTTGATGGCATGGGTCAACTTGGTACAAAAAATAAAAAATAAATAAACATACTCACATGGGATAAAGTTTAGGATGTTTCTTATTTCGGGATTATGGACCATAATTTGATCGACTAAAGGTCTTGGGCTTCAATGGGAGAAAGTTTAGACCTTATTAGATGTTGATGATGTTGGTTAAATGACTTAAGCCATTTAATTGTGTTTTGGAGTCAAATAGGGTAAAATGGGAAAAAGTGATATTTTGGGACTCTTTGCATGAATTATTTAACATTTGCAGCATGTAACTTAACATATTCATTTAATAGTTAGCCAACATCAATATGGGTCCCACAAAGCACAAAGCAAGCAACATTCGGGCAATAATATTCTATAGGCCATAAAAAATAAAAAGGCATCCTCCAACTAAC